ATACAACTCTCCATGATTGTGATACACACACCAGTACATTTGGATACAACACTCCATGATTGTGATACACACACCAGTACATTCGGATACAACACTCCATGATTGTGATACACATACCAGTACATTCGGATACAACACTCCATGATTGTGATACACACAGCAGTACATTCAGATACAACACTCCATGATTGGGATACACATACCAGTACATTTGGATACAACACTCCATGATTGTGATACACACACCAGTACATTTGGATACAACACTCCATGATTGTGATACACACACCAGGACATTCGGATACAACACTCCATGATTGTGATACACATACCAGTACATTCGGATACAACACTCCATGATTGTGATACACACAGCAGTACATTCAGATACAACACTCCATGATTGGGATACACATAACAGTACATTTGGATACAACACTCCATGATTGGGATACACACACCAGTACATTCGGATACAACACTCCATGATTGGGATACACACACCAGTACATTCGATACAAGTTACAACACTCCATGATTGGGATACACACACCAGTACATTCGATACAACACTCCATGATTGGGATACACACACAGTACATTCGGATACAACACTCCATGATTGTGATACACACCAGTACATTCGGATACAACACTTCATGATTGTGGATACACACACCAGTACATTCGGATACAACACTCCATGATTGGGATACACCCACCAGTACATTCGGATACAAGTTACAACACTCCATGATTGGGATACACACACCAGTACATTCGGATACAACACTCCATGATTGTGATACACACACCAGTACATTTGGATACAACACTCCATGATTGTGATACACACACCAGGACATTCGGATACAACACTCCATGATTGTGATACACATACCAGTACATTCGGATACAACACTCCATGATTGTGATACACACAGCAGTACATTCAGATACAACACTCCATGATTGGGATACACATACCAGTACATTTGGATACAACACTCCATGATTGTGATACACACACCAGTACATTCGGATACAACACTCCATGATTGGGATACACACACCAGTACATTCGGATACAACACTCCATGATTGGGATACACACACCAGTACATTCGGATACAAGTTACAACACTCCATGATTGGGATACACACACCAGTACATTCGGATACAACACTCCATGATTGTGATACACACACCAGTACATTCGGATACAACACTCCATGATTGTGATACACACCAGTACATTCGGATACAACACTTCATGATTGTGATACACACACCAGTACATTCGATACAACACTCCATGATTGGGATACATCCACCAGTACATTCGGATACAAGTTACAACACTCCATGATTGGGATACACACACCAGTACATTCGGATACAACACTCCATGATTGTGATACACACACCAGTACATTTGGATACAACACTCCATGATTGTGATACACACACCAGGACTTTTCGGATACAACACTCCATGATTGTGATACACATACCAGTACATTCGGATACAACACTCCATGATTGTGATACACACAGCAGTACATTCAGATACAACACTCCATGATTGGGATACACATACCAGTACATTTGGATACAACACTCCATGATTGTGATACACACACCAGTACATTCGGATACAACACTCCATGATTGGGATACACACACCAGTACATTCGGATACAAGTTACAACACTCCATGATTGTGATACACACACCAGTACATTCGGATACAACACTCCATGATTGGGATACACACACCAGTACATTCGGATACAACACTCCATGATTGTGATACACACCAGTACATTCGGATACAACACTTCATGATTGTGATACACACACCAGTACATTCGGATACAACACTCCATGATTGGGATACACCCACCAGTACATTCGGATACAAGTTACAACACTCCATGATTGGGATACACACACCAGTACATTCGGATACAACACTCCATGATTGTGATACACACACCAGTACATTCGGATACAACACTCCATGATTGTGATACACACAGCAGTACATTCAGATACAACACTCCATGATTGGGATACACATACCAGTACATTCGGATACAACACTCCATGATTGTGATACACACACCAGTACATTTGGATACAACACTCCATGATTGTGATACACACACCAGTACATTCGGATACAACACTCCATGATTGTGATACACATACCAGTACATTCGGATACAACACTCCATGATTGTGATACACACAGCAGTACATTCAGATACAACACTCCATGATTGTGATACACATACCAGTACATTTGGATACAACACTCCATGATTGTGATACACACACCAGTACATTTGGATACAACGCTCCATGATTGTGATACACACACCAGGACATTCGGATACAACACTCCATGATTGTGATACACATACCAGTACATTCGGATACAACACTCCATGATTGTGATACACACAGCAGTACATTCAGATACAACACTCCATGATTGGGATACACATACCAGTACATTTGGATACAACACTCCATGATTGTGATACACACACCAGTACATTCGGATACAACACTCCATGATTGGGATACACACACCAGTACATTCGGATACAAGTTACAACACTCCATGATTGGGATACACACACCAGTACATTCGGATACAACACTCCATGATTGTGATACACACACCAGTACATTCGGATACAACACTCCATGATTGTGATACACACCAGTACATTCGGATACAACACTTCATGATTGGGATACACCCACCAGTACATTCGGATACAAGTTACAACACTCCATGATTGGGATACACACACCAGTACATTCGGATACAACACTCCATGATTGTGATACACACCCCAGTACATTCGGATACAACACTCCATGATTGTGATACACACACCAGTACATTCGGATACAAGTTACAACACTCCATGATTGTGATACACATACCAGTACATTCGGATACAAGTTACAACACTCCATGATTGGGATACACACACCAGTACATTCGGATACAAGTTACAACACTCCATGATTGGGATACACACACCAGTACATTCGGATACAACACTCCATGATTGTGATACACACACCAGTACATTTGGATACAACACTCCATGATTGTGATACACACACCAGGACATTCGGATACAACACTCCATGATTGGGATACACATACCAGTACATTTGGATACAACACTCCATGATTGTGATACACACACCAGTACATTCGATACAACACTCCATGATTGGGATACACACAGCAGTACATTCGATACAAGTTACAACACTCCATGATTGGGATACACACACCAGTACATTCGATACAACACTCCATGATTGTGATACACACACCAGTACATTCGGATACAACACTCCATGATTGTGATACACACCAGTACATTCGGATACAACACTTCATGATTGTGATACACACACCAGTACATTCGGATACAACACTCCATGATTGGGATACACCCACCAGTACATTCGGATACAAGTTACAACACTCCATGATTGGGATACACACACCAGTACATTCGGATACAACACTCCATGATTGTGATACACACACCAGTACATTTGGATACAACACTCCATGATTGTGATACACACAGCAGTACATTCAGATACAACACTCCATGATTGGGATACACATACCAGTACATTTGGATACAACACTCCATGATTGTGATACACACACCAGTACATTCGGATACAAGTTACAACACTCCATGATTGTGATACACACACCAGTACATTTGGATACAACACTCCATGATTGTGATACACACAGCAGTACATTTGGATACAACACTCCATGATTGGGATACACACACCAGTACATTCGGATACAACACTCCATGATTGTGATACACACAGCAGTACATTTGGATACAACACTCCATAATTGGGATAGACCCACCAGTACATTCAGATACAACACTCCATGATTGGGATACACACACCAGTACATTCGGATACAACACTCCATGATTGGGATACACACACCAGTACATTTGGATACAACACTCCATGATTGTGATACACACACCAATACATTTGGATACAACACTCCATGATTGTGATACACATACCAGTACATTCGGATACAACACTCCATAATTGGGACACACACACCAATACATTTGGGATACAACACTCCATAATTGGGATACACACACCAATACATTCGGGATACAACACTCCATAATTGGGATACACACACCAGTACATTCGGATACAACACTCCATAATTGTGATACACACACACACCAGTACATTCGGATACAACACTGCATAATTGGGATACACACACCAGTACATTCATATACAACATTCTATAATTGTGATACACACCAGTACATTCGGATACAACACTTCATGATTGGGATACACACACCAGTACATACGGATACAACACTCCATGATTGGGATACACACACCAGTACATTCGGATACAACACTCCATGATTGGGATACACACACCAGTACATTCGGATACAACACTCTACAGTGCATCACGATGAACATGTGATAAGCATCAATCTATACATGTCTGTATGTCTACATGTAGATAAGTGTATCTACACTGGTGCATCCATACTGTTGTACACATGCCAAACTGTTGCTTGCATTTTTCTTCATTACAATCATACATAAACAGTGTCGTACAAAACATAATTTGGTCACATGGACATAAGTGTTTGACATACAAAAAAAGGGACAAGTTTTTTAATCTTTGTTATCTGAACATTTCAATTAGAAATTATCTGTTGTCTCATGAACGACAACTTGCAGTTCTAAGATGAGTGTGATCTTGTTTTATGTCCAGCCAAGGTGACCCCCGTCTCCAGCCAAGGTGACCCCCGTCTTGTGTACTGTACTTGTGAGCTGTAGTTTCATATTGATTCTGTTGCCATGGTTTCATGCTGTATTGAGCTTTGTTGACAGTAGATATTCAGTACAACTGTTTTCATTACAGGTAAGAGTAAAGAAGCTGAAATTAAAAGAATCAACAAAGAATTGGCCAACATCAGAAACAAGTTTAAAGGTAAGTAGATAACCTATAGTTTAACATCATGCTGCCAGTCAGCCTGCTGCCAGGGTTGTCCTGGGATTGATTCCTTGAGTCACCCGAACCCTTTGTTGCCATACACATGCTCTAGGATTCATGTCGTGTGCTGTCTCTCTCTCTCTCTCTCTCTCTCTCTCTCTCTCTCTCTCTCTCTCTCTCTCTCTCTCTCTCTCTCTCTCTCTCTCTCTCTCTCTCTCTCTCTCTCTCTCTCTCTCTCTCTCTCTCTCTTTGATTCCTTGAGTCACCCATTTGTTGCCATCTCTGGGATTCATGTAGGTGTCTCTCTCTCTCTCTCTCTCTCATCTTTGGGTGTTTTCTCTCTCTCTCTCTCTCTCTCTCTCTCTCTCTCTCTCTCTCTCTCTCTCTCTCTCTCTCTCTCTCTCTCTCTCTCTCTCTCTCTCTCTCTCTCTCTCTCTCTCTCTCTGATTCCTTGAGTCACCCATTTGTTGCCATACACATGCTCTGGGATTAATGCCGTATCAGGCACACTCACTCACTCACTCACTCGTGGAATGTTATAACTATCATGTCACCATCTAAGGTTTTGATGGTATTTTGAATGTTCATAGACTGTATTGGAAAACAAAGTGTTTTGTAGTATGAACTGCCCAAGATTTGTCACTATGCTAAGGGAGGTCAAGTGGTAACTAGTGTATTCAGCACAGAGTCAACATGGATACTAATTACTATGGAACGCAAGCTGTATGAACCTGGAGTGACCTGGGTATGTTGTTAGCCCCACAACTTTCCTGCACTTTTTGTTAGTATTTACATTGGTTGTTTTGGCATGACACCATTGTAGCAGCCTAGCTAGGAGTGTAGATATCAGTGGTCGTGGCCTTGATGCAGACTCGCTCCTACAGCCTGACACACATCAAGTCACTGGTCTAAAACAGTATACAGTCATTCACAGCATATTATTAGTTTGTACAAACCTAGAATCAACACTGAAATCCCAGCCTACTTACAGCTCCTAACAGGAATAGCCATGCTGGGCATTTATTTGATTTAAAAAACAACACTAGAAGGTTCACATCCTCAAAGATTCATTACATTTCCTTTCACAAGGAGTAACAGGGCTACAATGTAGGCATTACGTCTAACAGTGGCCAGGGCGTGGAAAGTAAGCGACAAGGCTACATGTGTAAATGTGAGCCAGGTGTTGGGGCACTGCCTGCTGTAGGCATGTACAGAAGCCCGCAACACACTGGTACAGCTGAACACTTCAGGGTCACTTTCTGTGGCAGACTTGCAGACTCAGCTTTACTGTGTCTCATGTGGTGTTGAGCTGCTCCATTATTTGTATTTAGAGCTTGTAGTTGTAAGTCTTTGACTTCCAGCAGCTTCAAAGTCTTTGACTTCCAGCAGCATCAAAGTCTTTGACTTCCAGCAGCATCAAAGTCTTTGACTTCCAGCAGCATCAAAGTCTTTGACTTCCAGCAGCATCAAAGTCTTTGACTTCCAGCAGCATCAAAGTCTTTGACTTCCAGCAGCATCTCTTTCCACCACTGTATACCATGTTACATGGATGTTACAGGGCCTTGTCGTGCTGATTGATCAGATGTTTGGGTCCATTAATTACATACAACAGAAAAACAGGTTCATGAATAGAACATTGACTCTCATAAATACACTTACAGACATAAATCTAGGCTGAGCGATCGCGGGATACACGCAATCGAAAATGGGTTCCCGCACTTCACAAATTTACAGGGGGGAGTGGTTACGATAAACAAGCGATTTTCTCGCATATTGTGATGTCCTGTGCACGATATTTTGTTAAAAAATTGGAGAAAATCTAGTCTGGGCAGTGTATCACAGAGACAATTTCATTGCTTACCTGTAAATGAAATGCAAGGTATGTGCCTTTTAACATCGTTATCCAATCACGTTTCTCGTTTAAAAATCGAAATCTGGCGATGTCACATGAATTACTTTGTTTTCTATTTATAGGGCACTCGCGCATGCGTGATTAATACCTTTTCGCTCACTTCCTTCATCCTTTTATCGATTGCTTAGCAGACAACCCATGTGGTTTATGTTAATGTTAGGAAAATCAGCTCGAATTACGTACTTTTTCATGTGTAGCGGTGCAAGTAAGACTGTCGTCAAGACAGTCAGATATCCACAGTCAGACATCCACAGTCAGATATCCACAGTCAGACATCCACAGTCAGACATCCACAGTCAGATATCCAGAGTCAGATATCCACATGTGCTTTCATTGTGGGATTGCTGTATTTTGTAGCTGTAACCAACATGGGTGTTTCCAAACAACAGCATCCTATAAGCTTTTCCTTTCAGTTGTTTGTTTAGGTTGAAGGGACTTGTGAACATGCCCCTTGTTGTCCCCCACTGCAACGCGGAACAAGTGACTATGTATTCAGCGTCATACGTACATTCGTTCCGATTCTTGTTAACGCGATATCTCATGAACCGTTGCCCCCAATGTCTTCAAATTTGGTCACAGCCTACATTGGGGGTTTACCCATACACCAGTCGATTTTGGTGACCTTGTCCTTATTTTCAAGGTCACCGCGACACTTTGACCACTTTTTAAACTCTTGTTAACGCGAAATCTCATTAACTGTTGTACCCAGTGTCTTCAAATTTGGTGACAGCCTACATTGGGGAATTACGCAGAGACCAGTTTATTTGGGTGACCTTGACCTTATCTTCAAGGTCACCATGACACTTTGACCACTTTTCAAACTCTTGTTAACGCAATATCTCATAAAACATTGCACCCAGTGTCTTCAATTATGTCGACAGCCTACATTGGGTGATTATTGAGACACCAGACATTTCAGGCATCTTGTATGTGACCAAAAAATGATATGTAGTAAATGTGTTATAAATATTCCATTCTTTAGCGTCAGCGGACATTGCCATATCAGTGGCAAACACTTGTTATAATCAGTGTTAAGAAGTGAGTATAGGTAGGGCCCCGAACTTACTTTCTGCTCTTTGCAGACTGTAGCTCAGTTGCTTGTCATACTGAGTCAGGTCAGCTTGTTGTACTGAGTCAGGTCAGCTTGTTGTACTGAGTCAGGTCAGCTTGTCATACTGAGTCAGGTCAGCTTGTCGTACTGAGTCAGGTCAGCTTGTCGTACTGAGTCAGGTCAGCTTGTCATACTGAGTCAGGTCAGCTTGTCGTACTGAGTCAGGTCAGCTTGTCATACTGAGTCAGGTCAGCTTGTCGTACTGAGTCAGGTCAGCCATCAACTCACAGCAGTTAATGACCCTTTTTTAATTACATGGAGCTAGACCTGAAATTTTCTTTCCTAGATAGTTATTGCTATCAATTATCATCAGTTTAGTTGAATTCTGATAATTAGCTGTTTGGCCAAAGCCTTCGTCAAGTAGAAATGTGTTTGTTCAAGGTTGAGGTTTTGCCACCGACAACCACTGTTTCATACTGACTTACAACGGTATTGGTCCAGGGATCATGTATAGTTTTTGCAGGCAGTTTGAGGGCCCTGCAGACTGACTGACTGACTGACTGACTGACTGAGTATGGTTTTACGCCGCTTTTAGCAATATTCCAGCTACATCATGGCAGGGGACACCAGAAATGGGCTTCACACATTGTACCCATGTGGGGATTCGAACCCGGGGTCTTCGGCATGACGAGCCAAAGCTTTAACCACTAGGCTACCCTACTGTCCCAGGGCCCTGCGGTTTAGAGTACTGTAGGTTACCATGATTACTTCACAGTGTGGGATCCGTCATTGATCTATGATTGATGGATGGATGAAATGACTGCTGTTTAAGGCACAATGTGGGACGCAGGATTTTTGTTTTTCTGCATCCATTCTCTTCCTTTGTGCATACTGGACAAACACTTGTATGTCGGGTGAAACCCTGATGATAGTTGTCATGTTGCATGTCCTCCTTCATTTGGTATAGACAGTTGTCTTGTCTGAATCTCTCGTCTCCCTGGGGCTCCTTTTCAATTTAAATGGGAATATTTGTTACAGTCAAAATTATATATATTCAGAGACTAAGCCTTAGTCTAACAGTTCCAGTTGTGTTCCTTATCTGACAGCAGGACAACCAGATCCACTATCATCACGTTCTGCAACTAGTCACTGAAACAAGAACACATTGGTCTAAATCAGAAAATGTTCAATGAGGACTGAAATATTTCAAAGATTGAGCAATTTCCAAGAAGAATAAATTGAGTGTGAAGCAAGAAACTTTTAAATGGATTAAAAATATGAATAAACCAGTGTGTGATTGCGTCTCATCTTGCTCTCTATCAGGTCTATATATACCGCCTATGCTGTGGGTTGTACATATGATTACTATTTGATACAGCTGTTATATCAAACTGATAACATAGATAACACCCGGGTAGAGACATGATAACTAACATATGTGTAGTCTGGCGATAATGTCCTTGAGATAATGAACTGACTACCTGCCAGTGAGGTTCTTAACACTTTCTGAGCTGTGCACATTGTCCAGAAACCTTTGGTCGTGTTTGAGTCCCGGATGGCCCAAGTCATGTTTCAAAGTTTATCAGCACCCCTGCATCTAGGTTCCACCAGAGTGGTAGATCACTTCACACTCTCCTGCCATTGAGCCGACAAGCTATTACATGTATATAACTCACTTGCTGTTGGACAATAAATCCAACTCACTCTTGACACTTTCAGTATCAAGCAGTTGTAGTACAATGGGTGTTCTGCATCACATGCGGCTTAGAGGCTTATTTATGGGACTTAAGCCCCCCAGCCCCCCTTAAAATCGGTGAGGGTGTAGCGCAAGGGTTAAGTCCCATATATAAGCCTCTAAGCCGCATGTGATGCAGAACACCCATTGTACTACTACTCAAACAATTAACAACAGTTGACTGTTAACAAAGCTACATGTTATAGTCATGTCAGGTATTTTCTTTACAAATTGATCTAAAATGTAGATTAAACTTGTACCAAGTACACCAAAGTGTATACTAGATGACCATTGTGTTTTCGCTGAACATGAGGGAAATGTTCAACAACTGACCTGAATTTCACAGTAGCATGAAATCTGTAAAGAGGCATTGTTTGTTTTCTTCTGTAAGTTTATAATAAGATTCAGTGAGAGTTGAGCTATTATCATTGCTTGTCAGCATTTAATGTTTATTTTATAATGGAAGATGTAAGTTTTCACCATGAATACAATCCTAACATGCTTCACGAGTTATAACTTTATAGCCCGTACAGCACCGTACAACTTTACACAAAGCCAGCCTGTTGTGTATAATACGCAAACAGCCAACATGGTGTTAAGTAAAACCCCTGTTATAAATCAATTAGGTTTCAGTTTGATGCTGAACATTGCGGCCAGGTCTTTTGTTTGGGAGTAGTTTTCCTCCAGCTAAGAGACAACCTACAGACCTGGCTGCTACTTCCATTGTTAATATGGAAAAGTTAATGATTGCATGCAAGGTTCTTAGTGGAAATCATTAATGATTCATGGTTGTATAACGGTCAAGGTGAAGCCATTACGTTTCCTTGAATTCATTTTCAGAGATGCATTGTTTGTTGTACTGTACCTCATGCAAGGACAAATTATATTCTGAAGCATGAATAACTTTATGTTCAAAACACTCATTGCTGGCTGGTTGTGAAGTATGGAATCAGAGATCCTCATTTAACCATCTAACGCATCCTTTTTCTCACCTTTTTTGTCATTGACTCGCCAACTCAACCATTCATGCCTATACTCACCAACTCAACCATTCATGCCTCCACTCACCAACTCAACCATCACTCATTAACTCAACCATTCATGCCTCCACTCACCAACTCACTGATGCATGCATTCACTTATTAATTCACTCATTGCATACATTCACTCACCAACTCACCAGTTGAGTCCCAACTTGTGCTTTCTCTCCACCTGCAGGATCCTGTAACCTCTGCTTGAACTCCAGATACAGCTTTCCCCAAGTTGTTGCCAAAGCATGTCTCCACCTTTCTCAACCTTGTACCACCCAAGTCTACCTTGTGCCCCCATGTACCACCATGCACCACCTTGTCCCACCTTGCACCACCATGCACCACCTTGTCCCACCTTGCACCACCTTGCACCACCTTGCACCACCATGCACCACCTTGCACCACCTTGCCCCACCTGCTAATGTGTAAGTCAGTGAAGCCCCAGCTGATGGCTCTCCAGACCAGGAAGTTGTGTTCAGTTATTGATTACCACGGGAACCACTGTTGATAGTGGTGATGAGGCTTTTGATGTCCAGCAACTCCAGGGATGTACTTCACAGTGCCAGACTCCAATCAGCCATTTACCCTGGACTTGCACTGATAATCCACTGATCTCCCCAGGGAAATGTGTCCCCAGCCTATAACATTGCTTATTTACATCAGAAAGTTGATATGTTGTATCACATTGACTCTCTTGAGAGGTGGTATGGAAGTTTCTTTACATTGGGGTGAAGTGTAAACTGATTGTATGCAATAGAAGTGTAAACTGATGGTATGCAATAGATCTGCAGTAAACAAAGTAGAAAAATATAGTTGCAAGCAACGATGAGGCTCCTTGGCTTTAGTTCTATCTAGCCTATTGTGTCTGTCACATATCTGATGAAAGTAGTAATAGTTTTAGTTAATATGAATCATATCTCTGCTAGTCGAATGCTCTTCTACTGGAAGTACTAGAAGGTCTTTAAGTTTCGATAAATTCATCACAAAACCTTTTTTTCTTGGATTAAAAAATGTCACTTGGGTATCATGAATTCTCTAGAGAACCAATGAAGATAGCAACTAAAGTGTGGAAAATATAATTTCACTTGTCCCTCTGTTGTCTTTGGAGATACATTACTGCAATCGGTAGTTATAATTGACACTAATAGCCCATTTGTACAGGTACATTTCGGTCAAAATCGGACAGTTGGCTCAGAGTTATGGGTGTTTGAATTGTATTTGAGGACTAGAAATCGTCCCAAACGGAACCAGAACACGTTTTTCACAGGCGAGCTGATCTTCCAAATACAGCGGGGGTCGTGTACCTTTTAAGAAGTTCTGGAGAAGAAATAGTTCCCTCTTTAAAAGGTTGTATCTCAGTGTTTTTGGGTCTACGGTCAAAACAATTAGTGTTCTGGAACCAAGACTTCGTCTATCATACTGGCACTTTTTGTGCAGAATTTGCACAATGGTTACACTGGACATCGGTTATGGAAGGTTTGGAATGTCTAGAGCTGATGGTTCGAGCTCAGCACATTTTGGGAGCAAACTACTCAGAACACTGCTGAAAAACATGGCCAAAAACTGAAAACAAAAGTAACTGCCAAACGGTACATTTTAGCGACTTGACCCGTTCAGGCAAAATTGTTGGGAATGCGATTGTGCATCTGTACAAGAGATTTGGAAGTATTGGAACAATTAGTTCTTGAGATATTTGCTGTCAAACTTTGAACTTTTGGAATTAATTTTGAATTATCTCCCCTTTGCTATTGGGCCTAGATCCTAGAGATTTTAAAGGGAATATCTTCACCTCTGTGGGCATCTGTGTGATTTTTTGTAGGTGATTCGTAGCATTGGTTTAGCAGGTATGTTTGGTCAAAAATAGGCTAAATAATAATAATAATAATAATAATAATCCGAGCGATTACAGTAGGTCTCCTGCTTAGAGGCAAGGAGCCTTAATAAGGCTTGCCATCATTCAGAGCAGTTTGTGTATAACATTCTGAAGCTGGTCATAGCGAGATATCGCCATGTCAGTACTGTATGGCACCAACCATTCATCAACACAAACACAGCTGTGTCTAGTGGGGCTGGCTATTACCATAGTTCATAGTCATTGATAGTTGTTAACTAAATAGCGCTTAGTTAATGTTAAAATGCAAGAAATGAACATATATCACGTCACTGTTAGTTGGTGACACATTTATGCTTAGGTCACAAACCAGACCACCATTCTGCACATTGTGGAGTGGAATAAACATAAACATGTAACTAGCTTTGATCACAATAGTTTATTTAAGATATCAATGGAACATTTATTATGTCAATAGTTATTATGATTCTTCCAGTCGACAGTAATTCTAACACTGAAGACCGCCTCCGTGGTGTAGTGATTAGAGCGTCCGCCCGGAGAGCGGAAGGTCGCTGGTTCGATCCCCGAACGCGTCATACCAAAAGACGTTTAAATATGGTACTTGTTGGTCCCTGTCTGGCGCTCGGCATTAATGGGTACAACAAGGACTGGTCGGCTCGGAGTCAGTATAATGTGTCTGAGTGGGGTATTCATGCTTCACTGCGGCATGGTATCTCAGTGGGCTAGCACTATAAAACCAGCTTCAGTCTGGGCTAGTACAAGCAGCCGCACATACACATACACACGCATGCACGTCGTCATATGAGCTAAATATTCTCAAGCACGACGTTAAACCCAATTTCACCTGACCTCTAACACTGAAACATGGCATGGGACACTGCTGTGTGCCAGAAACATTCGACTCCATTATGTGTATATTTATAGGTCTATCAGCTCCATACGTGTACCTGGGGGTTTCAGTAAAGTGCTATGAATGTCAAAACCTCCAGCTTCCTCCCATATATAGCTGTGCCATGACATAACTGAAATAACACTCAAAGGTTTTAAGCCAAATTCACATTTAAGCCCACAACAGCCATTGCAGTACAAATGTTGCAATATTAGTTTCACAGTGTTTTGAATTGGTGTACGGGACTGTAAGACCCTTGTAAATTCCATATTTCCTGAGGCGCAGCTGAAGGAAATACGGAATTTACAAGGGGCTTACAGACCCGTACACCCTTTCAAAACACTGTGTGACGAATTTATTACCTTTAAGATCTCTATATTTAACTTATCTTTAAAAAACCAGCATTCAATCTTCGGCAGAATGAGACGCAAAATGTTTCGCCATGATTTATCCTGATCGGTCATAAAGGGAGATAACTTGGGACGGCTTAGTTTATGATAAAAATGATCGAAGTTGAGGTTTTATTAAACGACAAATGAAATACAGAAACATTTTATTTTTTTTTTTTTTTATTGACACAAACAAATAAGAAGTTATGGCAACAATTTATTATTCTGTTTATGAAGCGATCAGCCATTTGGCAGCCACATTCCATCTAAGGTCAAGGTCATTTGTACAACCTGTTCAGAGTGTCACGTGACAGATTTGACGAGGTGTACAGTTCATACAACTTGGCAAATCCGCCTACATGGTTTCGTATGCTTTGGCTATTGACCAATCAGAGTTCGACAAATTTATCTCAAGGGTAATAATAACCCATACTCTGTGTATCACTGTATACAGGAAAGGGCTTAGATAACTGTTGTTAACATAAATAATGATGGCAGTCCTTGTCATTCAACACATCTTACAGATCACATTTATGAGGTTAGTTTCAAATGCAACAACAAAAAAATCCAGAACCCCAATAGATTGGAGGAGTTGGCATAGCTTAGTGGTTAAGGTGTTAGCTTGTCAACTGTCGAGCCAAGGTTCAAATCCTCATACAGGACAAGTACAAGTGGACATTTTCTGGTTCCTCCCCACCCTGATGTTTTTTAAATATTGCTGAAGGTTACTTGAGGCCAGTTCACCCCACAACCTTCGTTTCTAATTCTTGTTTCATGCCACACTCAAAATATTCCAACTATATGACATTAGTATGTACTTAATTCAGTACAGAAGTTACTCATGCTTGAAGGTGGTGCCTGACATAATGGAATGCTGTCTGTTGCAGGAGACAAGACCCTCGATGGCTACCAGAAGAAGAAATATGTCTGCAAGCTGCTGTTCATCTTTCTGCTGGGACATGACATTGATTTCGGTCACATGGAGGCCGTCAATCTGCTCAGCTCCAACAAGTATACAGAAAAACAGATTGTGAGTGTCAGAATACACAATATAAAACATCAACAATCTTGTTACAAGATCAATCTCCCCGAGGAATGTGATGTGTTACTTAACTGTATGGTGATTGCCTTTGCTCCATGTTTATTCATGAACAAAGAAATCTTTGAACTGCTCATGTTGAAAGTCTGCCAGCAGCGTTGTATTTCCCTATAGCTGTGTTGATCGTCAATGGAAACTATAGGTACAGAATAGAGTGCAATATATCTGCTGATAGAAGTTTGGATAAAGCTTTGTGTACTAGTTTTTAAGGCAGGCTTTCAGATTCTGTTATTTTTTTAGGATGTTCTAAAGATTTAGGAGCACTCAAAGAATGGTCAAATATATATTGAAGACTGAACTGTCAACTGAATGGACTAGTGACAGTGTGACTACTATATCCCTTGCCCACACAGGAGATGACTGAGGTGTTCCTGGAAATTGTGGAAAGAAGTACCTGTAACTAATACCACTGTTGTGGCTACAACTAATTATGTATATTTGGCAGCCAATATAGGACTTCAGTTTTAGTGACACTGCATTAACAAATACATTATATATGTTATAATGCCGTAGAGGTAGCTTTCTTACAAATATATGATGATGATTGTTCAGTATTTGAGAAGGATGTCATACTAAACCTTGGGTTAACAGGGTGATATCAGTTTCTGGTCTTGCTGAGCACAATTCCCCACAAGGATGACAAATCTAATTAAGGTTTGCCCTGATATGACTTGAGTATTGCTTATGTTGCTATGAAATCTCTCACTCACTCTCTCACTCTTTCACTCACTCACTGACTGTCTGCAGGGCTACCTGTTCATCTCTGTGCTCATCAGTGCAAGCAGTGATCTCATGAAGCTGGTCATACAGTCAATCAAGAATGACCTCGGCAGTCGCAACCCCATCCACGTCAACCTGGCACTGCAGTGTGTTGCCAACATCGGCAGCCGCGAGATGGCAGACACTCTCAGCTCAGACATTCCTAGGCTGCTGGTCTCAGGGTAAGACACAAAATGAAAGTTGTAACCAATGTAATTTAGGCTTAAGTGCAGGTGTTGAGGGCACCTGTTGCCCATGATCCAAAGTGCTGCCGTTATCTGAGAGGATTTGTATCCCACGTGATTGCCAGAATTTCAACTACAGTGTGAATCATCCCTTATTTTCCCGAGTAAACATTCTTGATATGTCTTATCTCTACCTTTGAATGGTGTTTCACCGAAGACCTCCACCACTGCAGCTTTCATGTGTGTCATATACCGTGCACTGAAGTGGATATTTTGTGCCCCTTTATATGGGTGAAAGTAGTGCTGCAGTTTGTCTCCCTTTATCACATTATGGAGATCCCAGTGGTATCTCTAGGGAGGAGGTTTATTCATGTTATGATTGGATTCAGCTGGAGTAGAAACCAGTGTTCAAGAGATGATGTGAAGTGTTTGCCCTCTCTAAATCCCTCAACATTGATCTGTCATGCTGGAAATATATTACAGAAGCGAACAAAAACACATGTTCATGCAAGTTTGATCCAGTGATACGATCCACTGACCAGTGTGTCTCCAGTATATTAAGATTGATGTGCTAGATGCATTCCATACTTAATCTTATATGTTGGTATTATTTGAACGACAATTTGCTAAATTCTGTGGAATTTACATCAGAATGGAGTCACTTACTTAGCAACAGTCCAGGCCAGCTATTCTCGAAACGTTCGTAGCCCTATGAACATCTTAAGTTCATTCTTAACACATTGGCTACGATCAAAGTTAAGAATTCTTAGGGCTACGAACGTTTCGAGAATAAGGGCCCTGGATAATTATCAATGCTGATAGGCTGTTTAAGCTGGAATGTTTGTTTCTTCTGGAAACTGAACAGTGCATGAAGATTCCCATTTCTAGTAGTCCAGGTTCTCACTGCATGAATAACTCCACTTCCAGTGACACGATCGACTCCGTGAAGCAGAGCGCAGCGCTCACCCTCCTGAAGCTACTTCGGTCCTCTCACGATCTGATTCCCATGGGGGAGTGGACGTCCCGGATCGTCCATCTGCTCAACGATCAACACATGGTAAGAGACACGCAGACACTACACACAGTGGGGTCGGTGTATCCTACACAGAGTCCATGACCCTGGGTTGTTCGCTAAAACTTTTCTGGGAGTGGACCTCGCGTCATCATTGTATGTATGTAAGCCACAGAACCTGGTGTATAACTGTCTATATAACCAGGTGAAAATCAGGGTCCATGACTGGGCTTGTATTAATGTTTGATTATGTTTTTGACCAACAACCTTAAGCCATTCTCTTCCATTATTAAGTTTCAACCTCTGTTTCACTGCCATTTGTTTCAGGGAGTAGTCACGTCAGCAGCCAGTCTGATCGAGGCTCTGGTCAAGAAGAACCCAGAAGAATACAAAGGATGTGTCTCATTGGCTGTGTCCAGACTCAGCAGGGTAAGTGTCAGTAGCAGGGAGAGGCGGGGTACAGGTCAGCAGGGAGAGGCAGGGTACAGGTCAGCAGGTGTACAGTAGCAGGTCAGCAGGGAGAGGCAGGGTACAGGTCAGCAGGGAGAGGCAGGGTACAGGTCAGCAGGTGTACAGTACAGGTCAGCAGGTGTACAGTACAGGTCAGCAGGTGTACAGTACAGCAGGTGTAGTACAGGTCAGCAGGGTACAGGTCAGCAGGTGTACAGTACAGGTCAGGGAGGGGTAGAGGTCAGGGTACAGGTCAGCAGGTGTGTACAGGTCAGCAGGGTACAGGTCAGGTGTACAGGTACAGGTCACAGTACAGGGGAGATGTACAGTACAGGTCAGCAGGTGTACAGTACAGGTCAGCAGGGTAGGCAGTACAGGTCAGCAGGGTGTACACAGGAGGGGTACAGGTCAGCAGGCAGGTCAGCAGGTCAGAGGCAGGGTACAGGTCAGCAGGTGTACAGTCAGCAGGTCAACAGGGGAGATGTAGGGTACAGGTCAGCAGGTGTACAGTACAGGTCAGGTCAGAGGTACAGTACAGGTCAGCAGTGTACAGTACACAACAGTCCAGATGTAGGGTACAGGTCAGCAGGGGTACATGTAGGGTACAGGTCAGCAGGTGTACAGTACAGGTCAGCAGGGTGTACAGTACAGGTACAGGTCAGCAGGTGTACAGTAGTAGCAGGTCAGCAGGGAGATGTAGGGTACAGGTCAGCAGGTGTAGAGTACAGGTCAGCAGGTGTACAGTACAGGTCAGCAGGTGTACAGGTACAGGTCAGTAGGGAGAGGCAGGGTACAGGTCAGCAGGTGTACAGTACAGGTCAGCAGGTGTACAGTACAGGTCAGCAGGTGTACAGTACAGGTCAGTAGGGAGAGGCAGGGTACAGGTCAGCAGGGAGAGGCAGGGTACTGGTCAGCAGGGAGAGGCAGGGTACAGGGCAGGGAGGGCAGGGGTACAGGTCAGCAGGTGTAGAGGCAGGGTACAGGTCAGCAGGTGTACAGTACAGGTCAGCAGGTGTACAGTACAGGTCAGCAGGTGTACAGGATCAGGGGTACAGGGTACAGCAGGGAGAGGCAGGGTACTGGTCAGCAGGGAGAGGCAGGGTACTGGTCAGCAGGGAGAGGCAGGGTACAGGTCAACAGGTGTACAGTACAGGTCAACAGGGATAAGTGAAAAAGTGATAAACGGTGCTGCTTGACTTCTTGGTCATAGGATAATTACCATGCATACAGGCCACACATGACTGGCTGTTCCAAGCTCAGAAGTGAGGGACGATGTGAAGAATTTACTATGGGGCACGAACACATTGACATGAAAAGGAACACTTGTCGTTTCAGATTGTGACGTCCTCCTACACAGATCTCCAGGATTACACATACTACTTCGTGCCGGCGCCATGGCTGTCTGTCAAACTCCTGCGACTCCTGCAGAACTACCCACCTCCAGGTGAGACATGCTGCAATGTTTTGTCTTGTGTCAGGATGCAGACAATTCTCCAAACAAGAAACTTAGAAATAATGATACCAGAACTATTCACCTCCAGTTGTGACATGCAGGACTGAGACAGTTTGGGTAAAACAAGTGTAGCAAGTTTCACTATTATTTGTATTGTTCAGCCTAAAAACAACACATATTCATAAATGGACAACACTTGTTCAGGCAATTAAATTCTCAAAATCTGATATTTCCATTTCTTCCACAGAGGACCCAAGTGTGAGGACCAGACTTACAGAGTGTCTGGAGACAATCCTCAACAAGGCCCAGGAACCTCCCAAGTCCAAGAAGGTCCAGCACTCAAATGCCAAAAACGCTGTCCTGTTTGAGGCCATCAACCTGATCATCCACATGGACAGTGACCCCAATCTTCTTGTTCGAGCATGTAACCAGCTGGGACAGTTCCTCCAACACAAGGAAACAAACCTCAGGTGCAGTTGTCTCCCCTTGTGTACCAGTCAGCTGGTCATCATACATATTTATCCCCCGCAATGCGTCTGTCCGTCTGTGCAAATTCGTCTTTTCTGAACGTAAAAAACGTTAAATATTTCTTCACCAAACTTTGCACATAGATAGGTCTGGTGGTGAACTGGTGCCTTTTGGTAGTTTAGGATATCTGAATAAAATATTATTTGTGTTTCCGTGACAACAAGTTTTACTTTGCCTGAAATTGGTGGAGATACTTCTCTTCAGCTGTCAGTTACCAGCTAGTAGGGATCCAGTGGCATGTAGAGATATACAGTTGGCCTGATCATGCTGTGTCGTAATAGAAGTGTTCATGCTATGTGAAATGGGTGTTGATGCTGCGAGATGCTGAAGTTGCAAGGTGTTGATCCTGCAAGGTGTTGATGCTTCATGTCATGCAGCGTGGTGTTCCACTTGCAGGTACCTTGCGCTGGAGAGCATGTGTCTGCTGGCCACGTCCGAGTTCTCTCATGAGGCGGTCAAGAAGCACCAGGACACAGTCATCACTGCCCTCAAGGTCAGTCTACTGCAGGTCACGGGTATCGGGGGATTTATTGCTACACATCCCAGTAGAGTCAACGTATCTGGCTTTTGTATCAGTGTGTACATGACACGCAGCTTGTACATGTGGGACCTGGTGAAGGAATAGTGTCCAGCATGTGTAATAGAAAAGATAAGCATGGTTTCGTATTAAATTGTATTGGAAAAGCAAGATTTTATGGATGTCAACTTCTTTATTGTGAATAACATGACTTTTCGGAGTGTGTGCTTGCTCATTTATCAGGTGATAAGGCAAGCATACACTCCGAAACGTCATGTTATTCACAATAAAGAAGTTGACATCCATAAAATCTTGCTTTTCCTATGTACTCCACTTCTAAATGCCCTTCAAAGATTTAAATTGTATTGCCTTTATTTGGACAGTACTTATTTGAACTTAAGACAAACTTACGAACAAATCCGAGATAAGGATGGAGTGAACAAGTAATGTCCCTGTATTGTTCCTATGTAAGTCTTATCCATGTTCCATGCAGACTGAGCGGGACGTGAGTGTACGGCAACGAGCTGTGGACCTGCTGTACGCCATGTGTGACCGCACCAACGCGGAGGAGATTGTGGGGGAGATGTTGGAGTACCTGGAGACAGCGGACTACTCCATCCGGGAGGAAATGGTCAGTAGGAAATGGTCAGTACCGGTCTTGGGTGTGACGCTATGTAGTAGCAGGTGATGGCACAGTGGGTAGTAAGAATCGAAGACTGTCAGAGGAGGCCACTGTCTTGAGTGTGACGCTATGTAGTAGTAGCAGGTGATGGCACAGTGGGTAGTAAGAATCGAAGACTGTCAGAGGAGGCCACTGTCTTGAGTGTGACGCTATGTAGTAGCAGGTGATGGCACAGTGGGTAGTAAGAATCGAAGACTGTCAGAGGAGGCCACTGTCCAACTAACTTCAGGCAAACTGGCTACCATGACAACTTTAATGGTGGCATCGATGGCATAAAATTTACTCGTTTTTCCAAGGAATATTAACAATCACTAGATCTGTAAAATACAAACAAATGAGAACATGCCCCATTAGCACTGCCTATTGTGTTTTGTCTCCAGGTTCTGAAAGTAGCCATCTTGGCTGAGAAGTATGCAGTGGACTACACCTGGTATGTTGACGTCATCCTCAACCTCATCAGGATCGCAGGAGACTACGTTAGTGAGGAGGTAAGTGCTTCTATATAAAAGAAATTAAACTATACTGAGATGTGTATTTTTAAAGGATAAAAATCTAAAGCACTAAAAGCATCAGGTTCAGTTCAGTGGGGATTGTTAGATTGTTAGATTGACAGGATAGTCACAGTTGCCACTTCATTGTTGACTTCAAACATTTTGTCTTATTGACTTATACATACTCAGAACCACATGTATTTAATTGGCTGATCAAGTTTCCATAAAATCGTGTTGTTTTCAAATTTTTGTGGCTGAACATAAGGGAATACTCTGTATCTTTAATGTTCTCCTTCCCTCAGGTGTGGTACAGGGTCATACAGATCGTCATCAACAGGGACGATGTACAGGGTTATGCGGCAAAGACCGTGTTTGAGGTGAGTCAAGAAAGACAACTCATGACGAGACCTGCTGTAGTTGATGTGATGTCATTATCTGTGTCAAAAGCTGGAGGTCAGAAAGTAACATGGCATTGGTAGCCACAGAGGATGTCCAATAAAACCTGATGTTTACCTACTGCCAAGGCATCCTCTTTGATACAGGTACTGTGTTTATTGAGAAATACCCAGGAGCCATGCATCACCACAGCTTTGTTTGGACGTCATACCTCCAACACCCTTGGCTCAGTGGACAGAATGTTTTTGTACTCAAGTTTTCATATTTGGCTCAGAATCAAGTTACAGTGACTGGGCTTGGGGTGTTTGTGATGATAGAATGTTTTATACTGTTTAATGGAGGATGACTGATAGCACCAACTCCACTCTTCCTAAGCTGGGCGGTGGGGTAATCTAGTAGTTAAGACATTCGCTCGTCAGGCTGAAGACCCAGGTTCGATTTCCACATGGGCACAATGTGTGAAGCCCATTTCTGGTGTCCCCCGCCATGATATTGCTGAAATATTGCTAAAAGTGGCTTAAAACTAAACTCACTCACTCACTTCCTTAGCTGCCTGTGAATACTGATGAGTTGGGAGCGAATACTACTTCCGAGTTGTGAGATATCTTTATCAGTCTTTCATCTCTTCAGTTCAGCCAGTCACAGTTAGTGACAAATGTCACTTCTAGCCTGACGACTGCTGCTTTGGAAGCTGATCTGTATTACCTGTATTTTACCTGCCTGTTTCACTTAACCATCTAGAACAGAGGGTGGTCTAATAGTCCGATGCCTGTGACAGGGTAAGAAGTATAACTTGTAATGCCCTGTTGACTTGTATTGCCAGGCCCTGCAAGCACCAGCCTGCCACGAGAACATGGTGAAAGTTGGGGGATACATTCTGGGAGAGTTCGGTAACCTCATTGCGGGCGATCCAAGGTCAAGGTAAGTCTAGTTGTATGACAGTCTTTAACTTCAGCCACTGATACAAAGCTTGAGTCCAGTGATATTCCACAGGGATCTAATACTACTGGCTCGTTGTAAAGGCTGACACTGTGTGGCCTGTGTGTCAGTGTACCAGGTGTTGGTTGCTCATGCTTTCAGTCACTGGATTGCCTTGCCCAGACATGATGATATAAGGCCAGTGATACAGATGGAATAGGCTTGCTTCTCACTTACCCGTTTTCCCTGGTACTGGGTCAGTCAATAATAAGCCCTTTAATTAAGATGCCAAAATGTAGTCCCCCAGACCTGGATCCATGTTCAGGGCCTCTGTGGCTGCATGTTACCATGTACTGCTGGTAATTACATGAGATCAGTGTACCACTGGTAGTGTGTTCCTTCACTGCTGGTAATTACATGAGATCAGTGTACCACTGGTAGAGTATCTCCAACTGAGTTCAGTTACTCAAGATGTCCTGCTGCAGTAATTACATGAGATCAGTGTACCACTGGTAGAACTGCTGGTAATTACATGAGATCAGTGTACCACTGGTAGAACTGCTGGTAATTACATGAGATCAGTGTACCACTGATAGTACTGCTGGTAATTACATGAGATCAGTGTACCACTGGTAGTACTGCTGGTAATTACATGAGATCAGTGTACCACTTGTAGTGATGGTAGATAATTACATGAGATCAGTGTACCACTGGTAGAACTGCTGGTAATTACATGAGATCAGTGTACCACTGGTAGAACTGCTGGTAATTACATGAGATCAGTGTACCACTGGTAGAACTGCTGGTAATTACATGAGATCAGTGTACCACTGGTAGAACTGCTGGTAATTACATGAGATCAGTGTACCACAGGTAATATGGTAGGTAATTACATGAGATCAGTGTACCACAGGTAGCTGGTAGGTAATTACATGAGATCAGTGTACCACAGGTAATATGGTAGGTAATTACATGAGATCAGTGTACCACTGGTAGTATGGTAGGTAATTACATGAGATCAGTGTACCACAGGTAGTATGGTAGGTAATTACATGAGATCAGTGTACCACTGTACCACTGGTAGTATGGTAGGTAATTACATGAGGCTCAGTGTACCACAGGTAATCGATGGTAGGTCTTAATTACGAGATCAGTGATGGTTATCCCTCTGGGCTGTGTACCACTGGTAGTATGGTAGGTAATTACATGAGATCAGGTAGTACCACATGGAGTCAATTACATGAGATCAGTGTACCACAGGTAGTATGGTAGGTAATTACATGAGATCAGTGTACCACAGGTAGTATGGTAGGTAATTACATGAGATCAGTGTACCACTGGTAATATGGTAGGTAATTATACAGATACCACATGGTAGGTAATATGAGATCAGTGTACCACAGGTAATATGGTAGGTAGTTACATGAGATCAGTGTACCACTGGTAGTATGGTAGGTAATTACATGAGATCAGTGTACCACTGGTAGTATGGTAGGTAATTACATGAGATCAGTGTACCACTGGTAGTACTGCTGGTAATTACATGAGATCAGTGTACCACTGGTAGTATGGTAGGTAATTACATGAGATCAGTGTACCACAGGTAGTATGGTAGGTAATTACATGAGATCAGTGTACCACTGATAGTACTGCTGGTAATTACATGAGATCAGTGTACCACAGGTAGAACTGCTGCGGTTGTATGATGAGTTTAGAATGAGATGAAGAATTACCCACCATGATGTTGCATCACCAGTGTGTTCACCTGTCATCTAATGTTGTGTTGCCAGGCTACAGTATTAGAGGAGATGCCACCGTTCCCAGAGCGGGAATCCTCCATCCTGGCCAAGTTGAAGAAGAAGAAGCCGTCGAGCGTCCCCGAGCAGACTGAGGCCAAGGAGCAACACCGACTCCCTGCAGCCCAGATGAACATCAACGCCGTCGCCGACTCCAACCAACCTCCCCCCGTCAGTGTAAGTACCCATCTCTCATACCACCACTCTCCCCGGTCAGTGTAAGCACCCATCTCTCATACCACCACTCTCCCCGGTCAGTGTAAGTACCCATCTCACATACCAACCATCTCTCATACCACCACTCTCCCCAGTCAGTGTAAGTACCCATCTCTCATACCACCTGTCTCTCATACCACCACTCTCCCCTGTCAGTGTAAGTACCCATCTCTCATACCACCACTTCCCCGTCAGTGTACCACCCATCTCTCCTACCACCACTCTCCCGTCAGTGTAAGTACCCATCTCTCATACCACCCATCTTCTCATACCACCACTTCCCTGTCAGTGTAAGTACCCATCTCTCATACCACCTGTCTCATCCACCCATCCATCTCCACCATCTCTCATCCCCACCATCTCTCTCATACCACCAATCTCTCATACCACCTGTCCCATACCACCTGTCTCATACCACCCATCTCTCATACCACCAATCTCTCATACCACCCATCTCTCATACCACCCATCTCTCATACCACCCGGCTCTCATACCACCCATCTCTCACCTCACCTCACCTTCATACCACCCATCTCTCATACCACCTCCCTTCATACCACCCATCTCTCATACCTCCCATCTCTCATACCCCACCTCCTTCATACCACCCATCTCTCATACCACACCCGTCTCTCTCTACCACCTGTCTCTCATACCATCTCTCATCAACCTTCATACCACCTCTCTCATACCATCTCTCACCACCCATCTCTCATACCACCTCCTTTTCATACCACCCATCTCTCATACCATCCATCTCTCATACCACCTCCTCCATACCACCCATCTCTCATACCACCTCCTTCCATCTCTCTATACCACCTCCTTCATACCACCTCTCTCATACCACCCATCCACACTCTCTCTCATACCACCCATCTCTCATACCACCTGTCTCTCATACCACCCATCTCTCATACCACCCATCTCTCATTCACCACCACCTCTCATCTCTCTACACCCATCCACCTCACCTCCACCTCTCATACCACCCATCTCTCATACCACCTCCTTCATACCACCCATCTCTCATACCACCCATCTCTCATACCACCTCCTTCATACCACCCATCTCTCATACCACCCATCTCTCTTACCACCCATCTCTCATACCACCCATCTCTCATACCACCTTCATACCACCCATCTCTCATACCACCCATCTCTCTCATACCACCCATCTCATCCATACCACTCTCCCCCACCTCAAGTACCACCCATCTCTCATACCACCCATCTCTCATACCTCACCCATACCACTCTCATACCACCCATCTCTCCTGATACCACCCATCTCTCTACCATACCACCCATCTCTCATACCACCCCCCCCTCATACCACCCACCTGTCTCTCATACCACCCATCTCTCATACCACCCATCTCTCATACCACCACTCCCTCCCATACCGCTCTCTCTCATTACCACCCTGTCTCTCATACCACCCATCTCTCATACCACCCATCTCTCTCATACCGTCTCTCATACCACCTGCCACCTCTCATACCACCCACTCCATACCACCCACCTGTCTCATACCACCCACCCTCTCTCATACCACCATCCTCTCCTTACCACCCATCTCTCATACCACCCATCTCTCATACCACCTGCTCTCATACCACCGTCTCTCTCATACCACCCACCCGTCTCTCATACCACCCACCCATCTCTCATACCACCCACCCGTCTCTCATACCACCCACCCGTCTCTCATACCACCCGTCTCCCTTACCACCCATCTCTCATACCACCCATCTCTCATACCACCCATCTCTCATACCACCCATCTCTCCATACCACCCGTCTCTCATACCACCCATCTCTGTGTGTGCAGGTTTCATCACCGACAAGTACCGGATCTGCGATACTGCTTGAGCTGGACTCAGCAGCGCCTACATCAACAGCGGCACCCTCTGGTGGCTCGGCAGGGTACCTGGTGGATGTGTTCGACACGCTGGGAAGTGGGGGAGTAGTAGCAGGCACATCCAATGGTCTGGAGTCAAATGGCACAGCAGGGGCAGATGAAGGACTCAGAAAGTATGTACAAGAGTTTCAGGAAATAAGGCAGTAATTAAGTGGCTATAATTTAAAGTTCGATGTTACTGGATCACAAGGTGTGGCTGCCGAATGTTGTGTCCAGCCACTGGTTTCCTTGGACAAGAGGACCGCCTCCGTGGTGTAGTGGTTAGAGCGTCCACCCGGAGTGCGGAGGGTCGCGGGTTAGATCCCCGACTGCGTCATACCAAAAGACGTTAAAATATTGTACTTGTTGGTCCCTGCCTGGGGCTCGGCATTAATGGGTTCTACAAGGACTGGTCGGCTCGGAGTCAGTATAATGTGTCTGAGTGGGATATTCATGCTTCACTGCGGCATGGTATCACAGTGGGCTAGCACTATAAAACCAGCTTCAGTGTGGGCTAGTACAAGCAGCCGCACATACACATACACACGCATGCACGTCGTCATATGAGCGAAATATTCTCAAGCATGACGTTAAACCCAATTCCACCACCACCACCACCTTGGGCAAGAGCTAATGTTTCATGCCATCTATGACACTGCTGGAACATTACTGACTGTTGGGTGAAACGTGCTCATTAATTTTACTCACTTGCTCAACGGTCTCAACTTGGACATAAAACCTTTCCCATTCATGTTCACAAATGTCTAATGTGATGCCTTGTTCCGGCAGTGGAGTGGAAGAAGCTTCTTTCTTTAGTTTTATGTTACGGAATGCAATGACATGAAATGTTGAAAGACCTTGTCAAAAAAGGCCTTTAAAACAATAGGAATTAGAAAAAAAATCCCACTTTTGAACAACATAAGACTTGTTGACAATTAAGGGCTGTTAGTTTGGAATCTTAGATATACCCCTGCCTCCTACACATGTACTCATTGTTGCAGGTTCATTTTGAAGCACAACGGGGTGTTGTACGAGAATGACTTGCTACAGATCGGCATCAAGTCGGAGTATAGACAGAACCTAGCCCGGATCGGTGTCTTCTATGGAAATAAAACATCATTCCAGTTTACTAACTTCAAGGCTGACCTCAACACAACAGGGCCACTTTCCTCTGATATCCTTTACAGTTGTCTGGTTACAACGTAGTAGCTCAACGTTTACAACGTAGTAGCTCAACGGTTGTTTGTGTCTTCTTAGGATGAGCATCTCCTTGCTGAAATAGGCACAGGCATAGAACAGACATTCTCTTGTACAAACAAGTGTCTGCATAGTCCAAGTCACATGACTTAAGCTGTAGGTTGACCGGTTCCTTGTCCATCCTCCATGTGATAGTATTCAAAGTTGTCTGGCTTTGTAAATGAAAGTCATGGACATTTCATGTGATTAGCATGACCTTCTCCAACTGTTTATGCAACATTCATGACCTGCCACACAAGGGTTGTACTTGATGACTTGACACTAGGGTTGTACTTGATGACCTGACACACTAGGGTTGTACTTGATGACCTGTCACACTAGGGTTGTACTTGATGACCTGTCACACTAGGGTTGTACTTGATGACCTGAGATACTGGGGTTGTACTTGATGACCTGACACTAGGGTTGTACTTGATGACCTGACACACTAGGGTTGTACTTGATGACTTGACACTAGGGTTGTACTTGATGACCTGACACACTAGGGTTGTACTTGATGACCTGTCACACTAGGGTTGTACTTGATGACTTGACACACTAGGGTTGTACTTGATGACCTGACACACTAGGGTTGTACTTGATGACCTGAGACACTAGGGTTGTACTTGATGACCTGACACACTAGGGTTGTACTTGATGACCTGAGACACTAGGTTGTACTTGTGACCTGCACACACTAGGGTTGTACTTGATGACCTGAGACACTAGGGTTGTACTTGATGACCTGTCACACTAGGGTTGTACTTGATGACCTGAGACACTAGGGTTGTACTTGATGACCTGACACACTAGGGTTGTACTTGATGACCTGACACACTAGGGTTGTACTTGATGACCTGACACACTAGGGTTGTACTTGATGACCTGACACACTAGGGTTGTACTTGATGACCTGACTAGGACCTTGATGACCTGTCACACTAGGGTTGTACTTGGTGACCTGTCACACTAGGGTTGTACTTGATGACCTGGACACACTAGGGTTGTACTTGATGACCTGTCACACTAGGGTTGTACTTGATGACCTGTCACACTAGGGTTGTACTTGATGACCTGACACACTAGGGTTGTACTTGTCACACTAGGGTTGTACTTGATGACCTGACACACTAGGGTTGTACTTGATGACCTGACACACTAGGGTTGTACTTGATGACCTGAGACACTAGGGTTGTACTTGATGACCTGTCACACTAGGGTTGTACTTGATGACCTGACACACTAGGGTTGTACTTGACACACTAGGGTTGTACTTGATGACCTGACACACTGGGGTTGTACTTGATGACCTGACACACTAGGGTTGTATTGATGATGACCTGAGATACTGGGGTTGTACTTGATGACCTGAGACACTGGGGTTGTACTTGATGACCTGAGACACTGGGGTTGTACTTGATGACCTGCCACAAAAGGGTTGTACTTGTTGACCTGAGACACTGGGGTTGTACTTGATGACCTGAGACACTGGGGTTGTACTTGATGACCTGAGACACTGGGGTTGTACTTTATGACCTGCCACAGAAGGGTTGTACCAGAGAGATCATAAGTTTCGGCATGTTTACCTTTGGTATGAGGAATGTCATACTTAGTTGAGGAATGATGTTGTAAGGATGGTTTGGAGTTACACACTTGTGTACAGAAAGGAATGAAACCTGATGACAGACAAGTGAACATGCAATTGTTTCCTTGACGGTCTCACCCCTCCAGATGACGCCGAAGGTTGTGGAACCTACGATAGATGGTGGTGCTCAGGTGCAGCAAATGTTCAACATAGAGTGCATCACTGATTTCTCACAAAACCCAACTCTAGAAATGTCATATATGTAAGTAAATCTCACAAATCCCAACTCGAGAATTGTAATATATGTAAGTAGATCTCACTAATCCAAACTCAAGACATGTTTTAACTAATTTCAGCAACTTGTATCTTTGACAGAAATAACTGATGAATATTAAGTTTCAACATTTCTGAAATGTTTAGTGGTCCTGCACACAGTTTTTATCCTGTATTCTACCACTGATCACTGACTGACCGACTGACATTGTTGCTCCTCAGACACAGCGGAGCTGCCCAGAAAATGACCCTGAAGCTGCCTGTGTTCCTCAATAAATTCATAGAACCTGCAGAAATGAACTCGGAATCATTCTTTACAAGGTGGAAAGCACTTAGCCAGTAAGTTACTTTGTTTCTTTCAATGTTCATTTTCCACTCATTGTCATACATGTCTGAATTCAAGGAATTGCTTAGCCAGGTGTATTTTTTAAGTTATCTGACTGGGATCCGTTTCACAAAGCTATCGTAGCACTACGACTGTCGTAAGTTTGTGTTACAGTATAGGAGGTACGACAGTCGTAAGTTTGTGTTACAGTATAGGAGGCTACGGTAGCTTTGTGAAACAGTTCCTTTGTTCCTTTTGTTCCAACATCTTCTTTCAGTTTTTGTCATGGATGGTGAATGTGCGAGTGCATGGATGGTGAATGTGCGAGTGCATGGATGGTGAATGTGCTTGGATGGTGAGTGCATGGATGAGTGAATGTGAGTGCATGGATGAATGTGTGAGTGCATGGATGGTGAATGTGTGAGTGCATGGATGGTGAATGTGGGAGGGCATGGATGGTGAATGTGAGAGTGCATGAATGGTGATTGTGTGAGTGCATTGATGGTGAATATGCGAGTGCATGAATGTTGAATGTGCGAGTGCATGGATGGTGAATGATGTGTGAGTGCATGGATGGTGAATGTGAGAGTGCATGAATGGTGAATGTGTGCATGAATGTTGAATGTGATGCATGAATGTGTGAATGGCAAATGTGTGGAGTGCATGAATGGCATAATGTGTGAGTGCATGAATGGTGAATGTGTGAGTGCATGAATGGTGAATGTGTGAGGGCATGAATGTTGAATGTGTGAGTGCATGAATGGTGAATGTGTGAGTGCATGAATGGTGAATGTGTGAGTGCATGAATGGTGAATGTGTGAGTGCATGGATGGTGAATGTGTGAGGCATGGATGGCGAATGTGGGATGTGCATGAATGTGTGTGAGGGCATGAATGTTGAATGTGTAAGGGCATGGATGGTGAATGTGTGAGGGCATGAATGGTGAATGTGTGAGTGCATGAATGTTGAATGTGTAAGGGGGCATGGATGGTGAATGTGTGAGTGCATGAATGGTGAATGTGTGAGTGCATGGATGGTGAATGTGTGAGTGCATGAATGTTGAATGTGTGAGTGCATGAATTAATGAGTGCATGAATGGCTGAATGTGTGAGGGCATTGACTGTGTGTTCGTGTGAGTGATCCCCACACGGGTACAATGTGTGAAGCCCATTTCTGGTGTCCCCTGCCATGATGTTGCTGGAATATTGCTAAAAGCGGCATAAAACCAAACTCAGTCAGTCAGTCGTGTGAGTGAGTGGGTACAGTGTGACAGTGTGTGAATGTTGAGAATGTGAGAGGTCAGAGTATTGAGGCCGAAGTAATTGTTGATGTTCCCTTTCTGCTTTCAGACCAGATCAGGAGTGTCAGAAGATATTTAAGGCCCAGTTTCCAATAGATACAGAACAAACAAAGGCAAAGGTAAGAGTCTCTGTAAACAACTGTCCCGACTCTGAGCCCCACTAGTCCAACTGGAAACAGTGTGTCAACCCATATCAGCTGGAGCCGAGTTTGGGATTACATTTCCTCAGTATTACAGATTCTAGAACCTTTCTGGGTTTATTCCCATCTGGGATTTGAGCCCACACTCTCAGAGTCTGGCGCACAGTCTGCGATCATGGCGTATTGCACGTCGTCATACCCTGCTGGTGTGGCTTGATAACAGACTGGGAGATTGTGTTGATGTAGACTGTCTATAAGCATCAGACGGTAGTCCATGTGTAGCTGATTGATCACTTCTCAATGTCCTTAGTTGTACTGTTTGATCTTCTGTTAAATTTCCTTGTTTTGTTGTTGCAGCTCATAGGCTTTGGAGTTAGTATTTTAGAAGGAATCGACCCGAATCCCGATAACTTTGTGTCAGCTGGCATCTTGCACACACGGAGCTCACAGACAGGCTGTTTGGTTCGACTAGAACCCAATAAACAAGTAGAGGTATGTAACAGGCTGTTTGGTTTGACTAGAACCCAATAAACAGTGAGAGGTATGTAACAGGCTGTTTGGTTCGACTAGAACCCAATAAACAAGTAGAGGTATGTAACAGGCTGTTTGGTTAAACTAGAACCCAGTAAACAAGTAGAGGTATGTAAGAGGCTGTTTGGTTCAACTAGAACCCAATAAACAAGTAGAGGTATGTAACAGGCTGTTTGGTTTGACTAGAACCCAATAAACAAGTAGAGGTATGTAAGAGGCTGTTTGGTTCAACTAGAACCCAATAAACAAGTAGAGGTATGTAAGAAGCTGTTTGGTTTGACTAGAACCCAATAAACAAGTAGAGGTATGTAAGAGGCTGTTTGGTTTGACTAGAACCCAATAAACAAGTAGAGGTATGTAAGAAGCTGTTTGGTTTGACTAGAACCCAATAAACCATCGAGGTAGTTGTTTGGTATATAACTGGACTATTGCTTACAGTGTAAACCAATGCTGTGGCTGATTGAAGTCAACTAGTTACTTCTACCCAGTAGTTCAGTAGCGTCAATCCCAACTCTTTAGCAGTGTTAACAGTACTTGTATTATTTTGCACGTTTGTTAGAAATATTGATGGACTAAACTGTATTTTTCAGATGTATCGACTGACTATCAGATCAACAAAAGATTCCGTAGCATCCATATTAGGCGACTTGTTGGAGGGACAGTTTTAACGGACCTGTGTTATGCGAATCCGAAACACCTAGACGTATGTTGTGTGTTAGCAGTCGACTCACTCTCCATCGGCATTGACGTGGAGAATGCTTGGCAACTTCGTCAACCAACCACAATGGTGCTCATGGAGTTCCCATTGACGGTCATGTGACAAGGCATTCCTGATTGTATTGTCTTTCTACTTGTCCATGGATGCAGTTCAGATACTTCAGAAGGTGCCGCCATTGGACAACAGAAAGTATCAGTGATCATATCTCCGGAAGAACTGTGTACTGCATGCTGGGAGTAAACCAAAGGGTGTTTCTGTTTGGAGGAAGACACATGTGTAAAATAGAACTGGACAAAAAGGGGATGAATAAATATATATGTCAAAATATATAGTCACTTTCAGAAATTAGAACAGTGGATTTTGCCTGAACCAGACTTCTGATGGACCTTCAGCTTTTTCACAGGTCTGAATTACAGCTGTGGACACAGAACTTGAAAATAAAGTTGAGGTTGAATGAATTATCATTTACATATGTTAGGAATTATGGGGCTCTACATGTGGTCCAGTTACATTGATCTGTATTAGTCTGGTTTTGACAGATTCCTTTGAAATAGTTTGTTGTCTGCATCATTAACATTTTACATGGAGTTTTCAAGAATATTTTGGGATGTTTTCAGGGCATTTTACCATATTGGACTGGTGTTAATTAGTGCAGGAGTGATGTGGTCAGTGATATATTCTGTCTTGTGTTGTGAGTAGTGGAGGAGGTTGTCCAGTCGTCCCACATCAACGACACAACACCGGATGTTTAAGATAGCTTGTGTCCTCGGTGACCTGAGTCTCATACATTGTTCAACATGAACGGTATCCTTAGTGACCTCTCAAGCCTCAACATTATTTTGCATAGTAATTGTGTTCAGAAACATCTCAAGCCCCAACATTGTTGAATACCGGCAGTGTCCTCGGTGACCTCCCAAGCATCAATCATTGTTTGACATAGTAATTGTGCTCAGAAACCACTCAAGCCTCAACATTGTTAAACACTGGCCGTGTCCTCTGTGACCTCGAGCATTGTTATTCGTTTAGCATCCTGAATTATGTGTTGGTACTCATATCATATTTTGTATTGTACTCAGTAAGTAAACTCTGTGTTGGGGCGGTGGGGTAGCCTAATGGTTAAAGCGTTGGCTCGTCACGCCAAAGACCCGGGTTCGAATCCCCACATGGGTACAATGTGTGAAGCCCATTTCTGGTGTCCACCGCTGTGATGTTGCTGGAATATTGCTAAAAGCGGCGTAAAACCAAACTCAGTCAGTCAGTCAGTAAACTCTGTTAGCTCTGTTAAGCACAACCTTAGCTCTGTTCAGCACAACCTTGGAAAAGCTCAGAATGCTTTTAGTGATGCATCTAATTATATCATATCTCTGTTGCTGGAATACTGTCTGTATGCCTGTAATGTTGGACGGCAGTTTTAGAAGGTATCAACATCAAGTTGTAGAGCAGATGGTTCTTCAGAGACGTGTTTGCTGAGACACAGTCAGGATTGAGGACATTGTGATTGCTTCATGTGATGACTTAGCGATGCATCTAACTATATCATATCTCTGTTGCTGGAATACTGTCTGTATGCCTGTAATGTTGGACGGCAGTTTTAGAAGGTATCAACATCAAGTTGTAGAGCAGATGGTTCTTCAGAGATGTGTTTGCTGAGACACAGTCAGGATTGAGGACATTGTGATTGCGGTCATGTACTGACTTCTTTGCATGCATCTCAACTATATCATATCTCTTTGTTGCTGGAATACTGTCTGTATGCCTGTAATGTTGATGACAGTTTTAGAAGGTATCAAAATCAAGTTGTAGAGCAGATGGTTCTTCAGAGATGTGTTTGCTGAGACACAGTCAGGATTGAGGACATTGTGATTGCTTCATGTGATGACTTAGCGATGCATCTAACTATATCATATCTCTGTTGCTGGAATACTGTCTGTATGCCTGTAATGTTGGACGGCAGTTTTAGAAGGTATCAACATCAAGTTGTAGAGCACATGGTTCTTCAGAGACGTGTCAGCTGTTCAGATTGAGGACATTGTGATTGCTTCATGGTGACTTGCGATGACAAGCAGTCTCTGAATACTGTCTGTATGCCTGTAATGTTGGACGGCAGTTTTAGAAGGTATCAACATCAAGTTGTAGAGCAGATGGTTCTTCAGAGACGTGTTTGCTGGGACACAAGCCAGCAAGGTGGAGGTCACTGGATGTTATGGTGTGTTGATGTACTCAAGGTCTCCAGAAGACTCAAAATGCAATCTGAAATTTGAACTTAACGTCATGATTAGTTTGACACACTGTCAGTCAGCTGTTGATTGGACTTTCGGATGTCCGACTCCCACTACAAGATTCCGAGTCACTGTTGTGGATCAGGACTGAGGACATTGTGATTGCTTCATGTGATGACTCATTGTTATATTGTGGACAGAGTTTTACTGCACTGGAAGTTCAGTCCAGTACATATTCTTTGTAGATATGTTACAAGATCTATTCACTGCTAGGAGATGTTAAGTGTATAAAGGCCTTTCAGAAGTGTCTGTATTGGTGAAATTGCAGCATGCTTTCATTATGCATGGAATACACTGCCAGATGTGTAGTTGATATGTTGGATATGTTACCATGGTTACATTGAGATTTGCTCCTCCATCTTAATGCATCAATATCTTGGGAATAGGAAGTCCAGGACTCTGAGAGTTTGCTTATTGATTTGACTCTGATCATCATCTTTGGTCTGTTCACGATCCTTGATCTTTGGCCTGGTCACGATCCTTGATCTTTGGCCTGGTCACGATCCTTGATCCTTGATCTTTGGTCTGGTCACGATCCTTGATCTTTGGTCTGGTCACGATCCTTGATCTTTGGCCTGGTCACGATCCTTGATCTTTGGCCTGGTCACGATCCTTGATCTTTGGCACTGTCACGATCCTTGATCTTTGGCCTTGTCACGATCCTTGATCCTTGATCTTTGGCCTGGTCACGATCCTTGATCTTTGGCACTGTCACGATCCTTGATCTTTGGCCTGTCCGCGATCTTTGATCTTTGGCCTGGTCACGATCCTTGATCTTTGGCCTGGTCACGATCCTTGATCTTTGGCACTGTCACGATCCTTGATCTTTGGCACTGTCACGATCCTTGATCTTTGGTCTGGTCACGATCCTTGATCTTTGGCCTGGTCACGATCCTTGATCTTTGGCACTGTCATGATCTTTTTTCTTTGGTCTGGTCACGATCCTTGATCTTTGGTCTGGCCACGATCCTTGATCTTTGGTCTGGTCACGATCCTTGATCTTTGGTCTGGTCACGATCCTTGATCTTTGGCCTGGTCACGATCCTTTATCTTTGGCCCTGTTGTGATCTTTTTTCTTTGGCCCTGTCGTGATCTTTTTTCTTTGGTCTGGTCACGATCCTTGATCTTTGGCCTGGTCACCGATCCTTGATCTTTGGTCTGGTCACGATCAAGGATCCTTGATAGTTGTCATATTCCCGTATTTTTGGCCAGATCATGTTCCTTGATCTTTGGACTTGTTATGATCCTTGGGCTGTCATGATCCTAAATCTTTGACTGGGTCATGTTCCTTGATCTTTGGACTTGTTATGATCCTTGGCCTGTCATGATCCTAAATCTTTGACTGGGTCACGATCCTTGATCTTTGTCCTGTCATCAGCAATTGTCAGTTCCAGTGACCAGGTTTTGGTTCACCCAACTGTAGAATGTCTGTAGTCTGCATCACCTTGATCTGTACTTCTGTCATGAAACTATCACATTGTGATACACACAGTTCACACCTACTTTAAGCCCTGTCTCTGTACAATAGCAGGTCATTGGAAGATGTAATGGCGGACGTGGTCAAGTTGCTATCACAGCAGTGCATTGTGGGAATGCTGTGGATCAAGACGTGTACATAGTTTAGCCAGCCATGTAGACAAACATTCCTTGGAGGACATGGCAGCTCTTACAACACAAGGGCACACCAGCCTCCACTTTGCACTCTTTTGTATTTTTACAAACACTTTGTTAATGATTTGTTGAATTGTGGAAATTGTTTTGTGGAAAAAATCTGTTTTAGCAAGATGTGTTAATTCAAGCAACATGGAATGTTATGTAAATGGCAGTGCTGTAAAATGTTTCATTTGCTTGCTACACTTTGTGATAGTTATACTATGGATGACTTGGCTCTTAAGTGAGAGAATTGTAGCAGATTCTAGGTGTTGGTGTTGAGGGTATTCACAGAGTTTGTCCTGATCAGTAATCATCTTGTAACAGAAATGGAAGACTATTAGGTAACTTGGACAAATTAGGATAAGATTTATTCTTTGGTAGAAATGAAACTGGCCTTTGGTATATATATATTGTCCTGTGTGCAGGCCATTTGGCCGCTGAAGTGCTGAAGTCATTTCCTCTGAATGTTCTTGTATTGATGAAACGTGAACAAATCATTTGAAGGTATGATGTGGGAGACTTGAACAAGCTTGCTGCTTCTTGTTTATATTAGTTTATGTTCATGAATTCTGTACTTTGAAGAAGCTTGTGCTCTTGATGTTAATGCAATGCTTTGCTGGTGTATAGAAACAAGCACTGCAGCCCAAGAGGGGTGAGTGAATCACATGATATGAAAGGTTACAATATGTTATCAACCATTGTTAAATCTTACTGTTTTTCTTCTGATTTGTAAATTTTATGTATACTTTGTACATTGTGTCATACTAGCTCTCTATAGCGGCGGGCTTTGCTGTATGTACTGAGGAAATGTATAACTATATATGGTGACTTTCCTCACCTTAATATTGTATATAGCTCTATATATAGGCTTGTAAATGCATGCTTTAAGTTTAGTTAGGCTGCCAAGAGATTTGTTTGATCATGCAATGCTGTGTGTGTTGAACAGCACCCAGAGGTGGAAGTCGAGAAAGAGGAAAGTGGAGGTAACCTCTGAAATATGCCTGATGTATTTCGTGGAGTGAAGGTGTTACGAGGTGATGATATAATTTACAATGTTATCATTGTGGAACAGAGGCCACCATATTAATTCATTAAAACCAGCATGCTTCTTGCCGGATGCCACTCCCTTCTGAAACCCTCAGTAGTGAGCTCGCTATGCTGACCGCCAACAGGTTTATGGTGTTGGGTAGTGAAAGAAGCCTAACTTTCTCGTTTACATTCCCAAACACACATGCTAAGCTTCAACATTCATCCTCCCTTATGATATCTACAGTCCTCTTCAACTTCATTCAGCATCTTCCTTGCCCTAAGCTATCCCTCATTCGCCCTATCTATAACAGACCCCTACCCCGCTCCCTGGACCGCTACCCCACTCCCCTGGACCCCTACCCCACTCCCT